TAGCAGCAGCCGCGCCCGTTAAGGGATGTTTATGCACGCCAGGACTTTCGTACTTTAGTAAATGACTTGACTTGTTTGACTGTGTTGCCCGGCACCCAAGCCCGCGTCAAGCCAAGGACTGAAGCAGGAAACAACTTTTAGTTGGACTCAAGTCAAAATGAAAATGCCAAGTGAAAAAAAAAATAAAAATAAATAAAAAATCCAGAAGAAAATCAACAAAATGAAATTGATTTTTCTCTCGTTTGGCAAACGCGTGAAATGTATTGGAAGAGAACTGCAAGCTAATTCCCAACTTTTGCTCCAATTGAAATTCTGAGAAATGCCCCGCAACTCTTTCGCTGGCAGAGATATGTGCGCATCGAATTTATTGTTTCAATTATGTTTTCAATTTGCGCCGACAAACAAAAGCCGCGATATGCAAAAAAATAACAGCAACAACCAAAAAGGCTCTCAGCTATAAATAAAAGTAAAATAGGGAAAACAACAGTGAATTTTGTATTTCTGTTTGCTTGTTGTCAGGTTCATGCGCAGCATTCAATATAGCGAGACTCGTCCTGTACCCCATATCCTTGCAGCACACCCCACCCCCGACCCATGCTCCATACCCAGCCCCAATCCCAATCCTGTCCTCACGCAAGTTATTGAAAGTAAACATGAGAAAATATATTGTATGTACTGGCAGGAAACACAAAAAATTGTATTCCAAACTCAGCGCGTAATGCATGCGAAATTGTCTCAAATAATATTTAAAGAAAATTAAATTGAATTTGCGGCAGTGCGAGGGCTGACAGCAACAAGAATTTACAGTCAATTGAGTTTATAAATACCCTATAGAATCGAGATTTGTATATTGGCATATGTCCGCCCCTTTGCCTGAAAGTGGAGGTGGGCGCGAGCCTCAGTTTCTGTGAATATCTGAGATGAGCTTAAGCTACAGTAGAAATAATAGGGGAGTTCAATACCAAGCCTATATTGAGTAAGCTTGAGAGAAGCTAAAAACGAGAATCAGCAGGGATAGTGATATGGCAATATTAGAGGTATTCCTCGAATGGGCTAATCCAAGCTTACGCAGGAACATGTTTTAACACGTCATTAAACTACATTAAAAGGCAAATATAACTTAAGTCTAAATTTAATTTGAATCTATGAATAGATGATGAGAAGTGTGTTTTTAAAAGGTGAGAGAAAACAATGCTCTACAATGTTATCCAAGTTCTCATTTACGCCTTAACATAGAGTATTATTAATAGACTTAATGGACTTTTCGAACAGTAAGTCGAATATACCCCACCGCATATACATATTTGTTGCAGGGTATGATAACAACAGTGTAACAACATCGCAAACGCAATGATAATATAAAAATAATCAAAAATCGATTCAAAGTGCGGCTTTTGTTTTTGTACAATATGCCGAAAAAAAAGAAAGAGAGGAATCTTCTTGTTTCTGTTCTTCTTCTTGTTATTGTTGTCAAAATGCAATCAAAAGATATGGCAAATTGTTGCTGTTGTTGCTTGAGAGGCCCTTTGTGAGTAAACTTTTACTTCATCTTCATCTTCATCTTCCTTTTGCATCTTATTTTTATACTTTTCCTCTTATTTTGGGCGGGCTCTAACAATTTTTTGGAAATTGAAATTTCCATTCTGATTTGACTGACTGGGCGCTTAAACGGATTTACCAAGTGTGTGTATGTATGTGTGTGCTCCTGTGTGTGGGTGCGTGTGTCTGTGTTCGTGTGTAGAGTTAAGCTGTGTATTTAGTTATGGTTGCAATTAGGCGCCCGCAATGTAACCTGTAACCTGCTGACCCTCTAAGCTAACAGCTAGAGCACCCATCACTTGTGTATATGTTTATATATGTATTAAGCTATGTGCAGCCCCTTTACTGTTTAGCTGACAAACGCTTCGTTTCTGGTGCTGGGGTGCGAGTTTTGTTGCCGCATTGCTAGAGACCGGAGGGTCGCACTCGCTACGAATCGGTCAAGCTGAAAAATACGCTGCAATTGCACCTTGCAAACACCCACACACACACACACACACAGACCGACAGGTATAATCATACAAGAAGAAAACCCAACAAGTACAAATGATGTAATTAAGCATGTTCGACCCGAGAGATGCCCAGCAATATTTTCGAAAACCAAATTCGATGCACAAAATGGGATAAGAAATTAGTGAAAGTCAATCTTTGAGCTTCAAAACAGACAGATATAAATGATGTATTCCATAGTTGAACAAGAATAAATCTATTTATTGAAGTTCAGTACCTTTTCTAGAATCCTTTATCTACTGCATTACCGCACTCTTTCTAGAAATCTCTATTTATGGCAATCTCTATCTCTATTTATTTCATTACCTACATCATAGAGTCCGTTCTCCCTATTTATATAGAAATGGTTCATTTAGTGCATCTTCGAGCACATTCTAGAATTCTTACTTCATTCTAGAGTTCCCTTCTAAAACCTTTAATTTTCTGCATCTTTGAGCTCTTTCTAGACTAATCTGCTACAGGACTTCGCACTATTATACGCCGACAGCATATGGCTATAGCTGGCCATAGCTGTTCTATATGGTAGTTTTACAGGGTATTTAAGCCAGTTGCCCTGACCATTTCGGCCATGCATCGTTGATATTTAAATTGAGCCAACGGGCAGTAAAATGCGCCGCTTGCAGGGCGAAATGCACTTCAAAAATAGAAATGCAAAAAAAGGGTTAAAAGTGCCAATGTGTGTGTATGTGTGTGTGTTTATGTATCCTGTATCCTTGAAATGCAACGCATGGTCGCAAGCGTAAAAATATTTTCGCTCATTTTTTTCGTGCTAGTCCCTGCGTCTCTCTCTCTCTCTCTCTCTCTCTCTCTCTCTAGAGTTTCCTCTGTCTCTTCCTCTATTGCTTCGTTGCCTTGGCAACCTTGTTTTCCTTTTTATACAGTATAGTAAATATATCCAGCTTTCTGCTGCTTGCTTTTGTTGTTGTTTATTAATAAACAATAACAAGAATGCTTAATTGCATATCTATTTACTGCCAGCTGCTCTCGCTGCTTGTTAACCTCATTTGCAGCCTTCCACCTTACCCCTGGGTGTTCGTTACCGCAATTCGTGCCGGGAGCTCCGCCTCACCCGCCCTCGCTGTCGCACTCACCCGGAGCGACTCCTCTAATTTTTTTGTCTCTGGCTGTTTCCTTGCAGTTTGTCTCATTAAAATGAGCAAATGCGAAAATCATTTGCGCTGCAATTTTTTACAGCAAGTGCAAATGCAGTGGCGCATTCTCAGCTCGTTAGTGTGCAAGAGTGTGTATGTGCGTGAGTGTGTGATCAGACAATGCGGCACTTTTGTCCTTAACTAGTTGCAAGGATATGGCGCAGCGTCTTGGCCACTAAGCTTAGCCTTGCCGTTTGCCGTTCGCCGTTTACCGTTTGGCATGCAAATGCCACGTTAAGTATACGCAGCGTAGTTGCTGTCGCAAATTATGTAACATTCATTTGCATTCAGTGCTCTTTTATTTTTTTTTAACTTTTAATCAATGCTGATGTTCTCGTTGCGTTGTTCTTGTTGTTGTTGTTGAGCTGTGTGTTGTGGCTGCTGTTGTCGCATTCAATGTGCGCTTAACAAGGATGTGAAAATTTATTTATTAAAATTTAACAACGCATTATAATCAGCGCAGATTTATATAAATGTGACTATGTGTGTGTGTGTGTTTGCAGACACAACTACAGTTTCGACTAGTGGCACGAATGCCGCTCATCAACAACCACCAGCAGCAACAGCAACAGCAGCAACAGCCCATCAACAACCATCGTCCACACATGCAGCCGTCGAGGCAGCAAATCATTTTCATGAATACAACAACAGCAACAACTACAACAGCTACCCAAAAAGCATTCAATTGCACAGACAGACAACACACACTCAGTCACACACACACACAAACACAGGCACAACATAGAATTGCACCACCACAAATAAAAACGGTTTATTATTTAATTTATGCGCCTGATAAAAAACTGCTGGTAAAAAAAAAAAAAAAAAGAATTGAGCGAGACCGTCACATAGACAGACGAGAGATCCATCAGACACATAGACACATTCGCTGCCAACAAATACATGGATACATTGGCTGCAGAACAATGAAGAACTCAAAAGAGTTGTTTGCATAATATGCTACATCTATAGGGGCATATTCTGGGCAAGCCTCAGAGCAAATGCTCAAGGTCAAATAGCTGTAGAAATTATACAAAATATAGCCCATGGGCGTGGTCGACTGCATAATGCTTGCTCACGGGTAAAAAGCAAGAATGCAGATATTTTCTGATGCCCCTCGAGTTCATAAATATATTTAATAAGATATAATAAATGTATATATCCTGATATTATTTTTGAAATGCAGCACACCCTCAGAGCTATTTATGTTTATAAAATAGTTTTTAAAAACTTACTCTAGGATTGATCCGAGACTTCACCTGAGAAGAGTATAGTAGTAGTCTACTATAGGTCTAGCCTCGATCGGGTTGCAACCAATACCTCCCGCAGCCGAAATATTCAAATATTAATAACTAATACAATAAATAATACATAACATAAAGTTCCGGCTCAAATTGATATATGAATTTTATCAATAAACAAATGGTATCAAAATGTAAGCTAAGTTAGGAAACTTGATAAATTTGATATCAAGTCCGAGCTCAAGAAAGAAAACAAAAAGGAACGACGAAATTTTCTACAAAACCCAAAAAATTAGAACAGACTTTAGTTTTCGTTCCTCTAGGCAATCTATAAATTGTTGATCTTATCATATCAGTTTATTGACACTTACATTTATGTATAACATATCTATAAAGCGTAATATAAAATTCTTGGAATAATCTACTCGATTTTCTTATCTAAGAGATAAAAACTTGATTATGGAATATTTCTGAAAATCCAATGCAAATGTGGTTTTTGTGCGTGTTTATAAATATAATTAAATGGAATTTGTCAAATAAATAAATTGTGTATACGTACGGGCTTTGCTTTGGGTTCCTGCAATAAAATAGAAGAACGTATTTAAATTAAAATCAGTTTGTCATAAAAAAGCGAATTTGCAATTAAAATAAAATGAAACGGAAAATAGAGAATAAAATACCAGCTTAAATGTGTTTTTATAAAATAAACGTTTTCATATTACATCAGAGGGGATTTAGATTAAAAAAACACTCTAATTGCCGGCAGGCTTATAGCTAACATACATACATATACACACATACACATACATACACAGGCGAATATGACGATGGATGTGCTTCCTCTTTCTACAACTCCTCATTCAGGATATTAGTTATTTAATACCTTATGTTTTTGATATATTAAGTAATATTCTTTCTATATAAAAAAAATATTCTCTGTATAATAATAATATATTTATAAAACTTTTGTAACTTATGTATTCAGTTTGAAAACCTATTTATTTCCCAAATTTTTCTAGATTACACTCAATCATTAACATATTAAAACCAACTTATTTATTTATCATAGACTTGCATTAACATATTATATCCCAAACTGCCAAGTTAAAGTTATAATAATATAATATATATGCTGTCCAAAAACAATATCATTAGCTGCAAATTTTATAAATGTACAAAATGAGAGAGAATTACAGAGAGAGTGAGACTGTATAGGATATTATGAAGTTGTGCATAATCCGCTTAAAAGTCGTTCGCCCCCACAGCTCAAAGCAAAGTATAATAGTTTTGTCTATCACAAATATATGTATGTATTTATATTCATGTGTATATATACTTGTAGGAAACGTATTTACTCATAAGCGTGCGTGGATCAAATATGAATATATCAACGGTGAATGACAGAGTGAGAGAGAGAGAGAGAGAGCGGGAGAGAGAGTGAAGTAAGTGCATCAGAAATACGGCACGTCTGTTTTAAATCCTAGAGCAGGACGAAGGCTCAGGCTGAGGCTCAGGCAAAGAAAAACAGGAAAAATATAAAAGCGAACAATGCGAGCAGATGTGCAGGGAAGCGAGAAACAAATGCAGATGTTTGTCTCTATGCGTACGGCTGAGTGTGCTAGTGTGTGTGTATGTGTGTGTTCGGCAGATGAATATGCATTTGGAGCAGCGCAAAGGAAATAAAACAAAAATTCAATCGGATTTGTGGCAGAGCCTGCAACTGGACACAGTTTGTCTTTCCATTTAGTGCAATGAACTCTCTATCCATGCCTCGAGCAGTATTTCTTTTCTCTCTCTCTCTCTCTCTCTCTCTCTCTCTCTCTCTCTCTCTTTGTACATTGTAGTACCAAATTGACTGATTGAAGCAGCATTGTACCAAAGACAAGCATAGCACCTGGCCATAAGCGCCAATTATAGCTGTAAAAATTGCTAAAAAATCTAAGAAACAAAAAATAAAACTCTGCATCATGGCAAGAGAAAGGTATGAGAAGAAGGTATGAGAAGAGAGAGAGAGAGAGAGAGAGAGAGAGAGGAAGGTAGGGAGGGAATGTGTGTGTGCTGGTGCAACTGGATATGCCAGGCCACGACATTATATCAGATTGCACAATACAAAATGCAAACACACGCACACACACACACATGCACATGCTTGACAGCGACGATAATTAAGTTCACAAGCTCATTATCAACATCGTGTTGTCCATATACGCTATCCTGCTGCACAGGACCCGGCTAAGCCAACGAGCCAAAATGCGAGCTGTGCCTGCGAGTGAGTGTGGATGTGTGCCACAGGCCTGAGGCGACAATAAGGACGAGAAGGAGCATGGGGACGAGGACGAGGACGATGACGAGTGCTGAGAGTATGTCAGAAACGATGTGTGCTCAAGTAGGAGCATTGCACTCCCCGTGATAAGTGCGAGCTACTTGCTGCTGGCAGCTCGAATTTGGTATGCATGAAGTGAAACCTTTAAGTTGTCATGGGTGGCTTAGAGGGCTAGGGTTAGTTCGCTCAGTGGAGTGCATTTGGCTTGATGAAGTTGCCGCTGCCAGTTGCCAGTTGCCAGTTGCCAGTTACCGTTGCAAGTTGCCGTTGCCCGTTATAGCTAGTTGGCAGTGTGGCAGGCGGCCACAAAAGTGAAATTGAAAAAGTCTTAGCAAGGACAATACCGGGAATAGGTATGGCGGGACACTGCCAAGTCAATCACTCATACCCGCACAGACTCAAAGGTTGCCTTTGGCCGCCATTTGGGGGGAGGGTTGGGCGGCGAGTTTCGTTGGGCCAGACGGCTTTTAATATTTGCTCTTCTTCTTGTCGTTGATTTGCCTTATTTGCCAGTCGTTTGACGAAAGAGACGATGGAAATAAAATGCGAAATGAAAAAAGCATTTTAATGAGAAAATTCCTAAGAAAAACTGCATATTTAAGGCGCTGGCGAGCTGAAAGGGACACCGAGGCGAGCTGCGACAGGAAGCGGCCTCAGCTCTCAGATTTGGGCGCGCAGAGCGGAGTGTGCGGGCGGGCCCAATTCAAATAGCCAAGTTAATGACTTGTGCTGGGGGCATTTTATATTTTTATTTTTATTTTATTCTCAGACCTGATTTGTGAAAGTAAAAGCAAATGAAGACGCGGCTCCGACTCCGTGCAGAGTGTGACCAGCTGCCCAGTCGGGCAGAAACCAAACCCCGAAAACCTGCAAACCTGAAAAACTCGCAGAAACTGACAGCAGCAAAAACAGCGTATTGAATTACAAGAGCTGCACAAATACCACAGAAATACATACGAAGTGCATTGATCCGCATTCGATTCGTGGCAGCAACTAAAAACAACAACAACAACAAGAACAACAAAATCAAGAACCAGCCAATCGTAATCACAACAGTATGCCGAAATATTGGCAACCAGCCGTACTCGCTGAAGAGCACAGAGCTTCCGCAAAAGAGAAGAAAGAAAACGACATTATTGTATTAATTTTACATATGTAGGTGTGTGTGAGTGTGAGTGTGAGTGTGCTCACTTTGACACTGTGAAACAACAGAGTGAAGACCAGCGACGAAGAATATACAGCGTAAACAGTTACTAAGTAGCTAGTGAAATTTTAGAGTATAATATAACATAAACTAATATATTCTATAGGAATAGAATAATAGCAGACTGCGTCATATAGCTGCTGTAATTTCACATACATACATATGTATGTATGTACATGGCAACATGAAATTGCAAATTAAACTTTTTGTCGTACAGTGTCTTGGGCATTGCCTTTCCAGTGGCTGCCCAAACGACGAGCACATGGGACTTTTCGCATGTATGTATGTATGTGTGTATGTTTGTGTAGCGGGATGCATGTGTCGAACGGCAACAACAATAATGATGATGATAAAGGAGAGGAAGATATAAAATAAAGCGCCAATTGTGTGCCAAGCGCGGAAGGAAGAGCTGCCAACAACCGTGGCTGCTCGTCTACAATTTATGTATGGATGTGTATGTGTACATGTGTGTGTGTGCTGGGCATATTGACATGTCACAGCGACTGCAAAATTTACAACTTTATCTATGTGTGTCGTCATTGGAAGCAGTGGCAGCGAGAGCGACAACGACAGCAGCATGGGCAGGGACAGAGCCGGCAAGAGACAGCGGAGCTTCGATCGGCTGCGTCTCTTTGCGTGCCATTTTCTTGTTTGACAACCTTTTGTGACGCTGACGTRGACGCAAGCGCAGCGCAGCGCTGTCCGCGTTCTCCTGTCAACCTCCTTCTTAATTGTGTGACCAGTCGCGCGCTGTCTCCACTCTCCTAACTATCTTGTTTGCTATCTCCCTCGCGCCTATGCCGGCTGGAACTATGCACGCGTTCGTTTCTTTTTCGGTTTCCTGTTTGCTGCTTCTGCAAGCAGCGCTGTGCGCGCTGCTGCCGCTGTTGCTGTTGCTGTTGCTTTCGCTGCCGGCGTTGATCGTAGCAGCGAGACAAAACGTTGCGCTCAACCGCTTATTTATTTATGTCTGTCGSTCTGTCTGACTCTCTGTTTGTGCATGTGTGTGAGTAGCGTTTGTATGTGTAGGTTGTGAACATCTGCTCCTGCAGGCGGCAGCGGCTGCGAACGACGCGACGTTTGCTTTTCTTTTGTTGTAGCTGTTATTGCTGCTGCTGTTGTTGTTTCTGTTGCCTCGTTTCGTTATTATCGTTTTATTGTTGTTTTATTCCATACGGCATATTCGCACTGCGTTTGTTGTTGTTGTTGCTATTCTTACTTATCTCTTTTGTTGTTGTTACTTCCACTTCTACTCTTAAATTTGAGGCGTACGAAGCGCGTCCAAATGGAAGCGGACATGACCTTAATTTATACCTTACTGCTAATACTTTTAGGAAAGAGGACGAGAGAGAGAGAGGGAGAGAGAGAGAGAGAGAGAGAGAGAGAGTGCAATAGAGAGCAAGATCCATTTTAATTTCGACGTAACAGCTGACTTCCATTTGAAATGCTAACTTGGTATATGGAATATTCGAAATGAGAAATTCTTGAGTACCTTTAAAGTCCTCTTAAGATATCCTTAGCTCTGCTCGGCCAATGAACTTGTCAGCCAGCAAAGAAGACATCACATAACCACAGCCACTTGAGAGTCCAAAATGGACCGGCCTGGCCGCAGTTTCAGCTGCAGATTCATTTACGTGTGTATGAGTGTGCGTGTGCATGTGTGTGAGCGTAACCTGATTTTATTTAAGGATATGCGCAGCCTGCGGCAAGGCTCTTAAGTGATTTCGAAACGCAATGTAAACTGAATGGAATACGAAGCAAAACTCCTCCTCTCGGCTGCCTCGGTAGCTCTGAGGCAGTGAGGCTGCGAGCTTAAGGATACGCGAATGCTCCAAATGCACTCAAGTGCACGTACGCAAGTACTTAAGCAGAGGCACACACAAATGCATACACACACACACACACACGCAAACGTGCTTGTAGGTTACTAGTTGAAATGTGGCCATGCACAGGGCGAGGCGAATGCGAATGTGAGGTTGGCGGCGAATTCAGAGGCAAAGATGAAGACGAAGGCAGTTGCATGTGCTAAAGCAAAGGCGAATTCGTTGGCGGGCCGAAGGCAGTTGCATGCTTTGAAATGGGGGAGAGGCAAAGAGGGAATGGGCACATTAATTTGCACTGGCTCCAGCTGGAACATCTGTTCCATCTGCGCTGACATAAATCTCGAGTGACTGACCGCTGGAGCGCAAGACCGCGCGAACTCTCGTGGCCGCGAGCGGCGAAAAGGAAACCAGTTTGCACTGGCAGCGATTTAGCTGCGCTACAGTGGAGCCCCAAATTAGTGATGGCGAAAACAATTATTAATCGATTATTTAAGCTACGGGAATATTAATTTCAATTAATCGACGAAAAATAATCGATGAATAATTAATCAAATGATTTTTATTTTGATTTTTTGAGTTTTATTAAGAATTAGAAATGTGGCGGTCAATCTGTTCCACTTTTCTGTAATTAAATCGCCGATAGAAGCAAAATAATCGTTTGTTACATATCAGATGATTAATCGTGAATTCACTACCACGAATTCCTTAAATATTCCTTAAACATAAGCAAAATACTCGGTGGGAAGGAAACCGGCTTGCCATAGTGGCACTGATTTACCCCACTGTGCCTTGTGTAGGCCTTGTCATTGGCCAAGTTGTGGCCGCGGCAAGCAGATGCAGCAATTTCATTGAGTAACTTTTTTGAATGGATGCGAACGGCTCTGCGTAAGCCGGGGCCTAGCTCGAATCCGAGCCTGGGAAAATCTTAAAAACTGAATGGCCAACTGGCCAGAATGGCCAGCTGGCTAACTGTTTGTGTATGTGTCTGTGCACTTACCTTCTTCTCGGTGAGCTTCTCGCAGCGGCGCTGCTTGCAGATCTGGTGGCTCTTGTCGTTGCGGCAGGGGGCGCACTCGCCGCAGTTATCCTTGCGCTGGCAGCCGACGCACTCGCCGCAGCGCTTGCGCTTCTTCTTCGACTGCAAAACAGAGGCGGAAGAAGAGAAGGAGTTGTTGTTGGTGGAGTGGTTGGCGTTGGGGGGTTGTTGTTGATGTTGTTGGTGGTAGTGTAAGGTTATGGTTGTGGGTGGGTGTTCCTATTATTCGCAGCGTTTGCCAATTATTGCTCCCGCTAACGCGCCCTCCACTGGAACTTACCTGCTTGTCGCATCCACTGGCGTTCGCATCGTTGCTGTCGCCCATGCCCAGGGCGCTCAGCGGACTCTTGAAGTTGGCCGTGCTGCTGACGGCGTCCACCTGTCCGGGATTGCCGCCGCTGGGGTCCACGTCCATGCCGCTGGCCTCGCTCTCGGCGCTGGACTCGAGCGAGTTGGGCCGCTGTTTCCGCCGCTCCTTCTTTCGCGCGTCCAGCCGAGCTATCGGCGACTGCAGCAGCTTCTCCACCTTGATGGGCGCCGTCGTCGTCGTCGGCGTCGGCGTCAGCGGCTGCGTGGTGTGCGGCGTATGGCTGCCGCTGCTGCTGGCCGCGTGCGGGAAGCTGTTGCTGTTGTTCCCGTCATACGACGTGGGCGTGTGCATGCCCACAGCCACGCCCACGCCCAGGCCAGGATGGCCATGCAGCTGGTGTGCGCCACTGTTGCTGTTGAGATCAAAGTCCTCCTTCTTGAGCAGCATGCTGCCCGTTAGCATGTCATAGTCCGCGCCAGCCGACGGAGCCATCGACTCCTTCTTGATCAGCGGCGGCAGGCCCGGCGTCAGGGGCTGGTACAGCTGCAAGTCGCCGAATGCAGCCGTGGCTGCCGGCATCAGCGGATAGGCGCCCGCTCCGGTCGCCCGATGGTGCGAGTGCATGTGATGAAATGCGTTCGGCGGCGGCGGCGGAGCGCCCAGCGGCGTGAAGCTGCCCGAGGGCGGAGTGATGCTCGTCTGCATGCCCGGCAGCTGCGTCAGCGGCGAGCCGACGCTCATCATGCCCGGCGAGCTGACCGAGATGCTCGCCGGCGACATGGCCACCGTTTGCAGCGAGCCGAGTCCTGCTGCAGTAGCGCCGGGCCCAGCTCCTGCGGCGGCCGCTGCTGCTGCTGCAGCGGCTCCAATCGGCAGCGGCATGGGCGTGCCGTCGGGCATGAGCTGATCATTGTAGCCATGGAATTGACTCTGGAATGAGGGCAGCTTTGAGAAGGGCTCAAAGCCGCTCTTTGGCTGCGACTGCGCCTGCGACTGCGACTGCGACTGCGGCTGCGGCTGAAACTGTGGGTGTGGCTGGCTCTGGGGCGGCTGATTGTCCTTGGACTCCATTTCCCAGGGACGTGTGTAGCTGCCGTTAGAGTTGGAGTTCGAGTTGGAGTTGGCGTTGGCGTTGGCGTTGGTGCCGTTGCCGTTGCCGTTGGGGCCTACTGCTGCTGCTGCGGCAGCGGCGGCGGCGGCGGAGGCAGCAGCAACGGTATCACTGTTGTGTGTGCCATGAACGCGCTGGCCATGGGCGTGGCCGTGGCTGTGGCTGTGGCTGTGGCCATTGTTAACACTGGCAGCAGTGCCATTCGCATTGCCGCTGCTGCCCAGGGGTGTTGCAACATTGGTGTTGCTGCTGTTGTTGTTCTCGCTGTTGCTGTTGCTGCTGTTGTTGTTGTTGGTGTTGCTGGTGTTGTTGGCAGGCGCCGTTGGCTGCTGCCGTGCATAATAGTCCCAGTGCTGAGACTGTTGTTCCGCAAGCGATTGCTGCTGCTGGTAATGTTGTTGCTGTAGTTGTTGCTGCTGCTGTTGCTGCTGCTGCTGTTGCTGCTGCTGCTGTTGCTGCTGCTGCTGCTGCTGCTGCTGTTGCTGCTGCTGGTGTTGCTGATGTTGCTGTTGGTGCTGTTGGTGCTGCAAGTGCTGCTGCTGGTAGTGATGATGATACGGCGTCGTATAGTGCTGGCTGAGGCTGTTCAGCTGATTGAGATGCGTGTTGTGCAGGTCGGCAGCTGCCGAAGCAACAGTTGCTGATATTGGAGGCAGGGTGTTGCTGCTGGCGTTGCTGCCGGTGCTGCTGCTGCTCGCTGCAGTTGACGGATCGACGGGGCCGCCTGTGCTGCTCTGTGCGATTATTGTGGACGCCATTTAAGTCCGCACAATCGCATGGCTGCGCAGTCCAGATCAAACTGCGCGGGGGAGGGGAACGGGCTCAGATGTCAAATGTCGAAGTATATATCTACGTGCATATATATTAGTATATGTATATTTATATAGTTTGTACACACTGGTTGGCAGAGTTAGATAATTCGTAATTCGTTTTGAAATCTTTACGTTTTGTACACGCTCACTGCTCTTGAGGTAGTTTTTCGTTCGATTTGTTGGTTGCTTAAAAGTTGATTTAATTTTCTGGGTTTTTCATAAATTGATACTTTGAACTTTGAACTCGCGTAGCTCGCGTGCTTTGTGCATATTGTATTTTTCTTTGTTTTGTTTGTAAAATTTGTATTTGAATATTATTCTTACAGTTGATATATAAATATAATTATTTGTTTGTTGTATTCATAATTTATTTGTTGTATACGTGCTACTACTATTTACTTGTTATTCCAAAATTTGTAAGTTGAAAAATTCAAAATTTTATTTGATTTGTACTTTAATTTGTCGTGTTGAAAGATATTGTTATTGTTGTTGTTGTTGTAAACGGCAGCCATGCGAAATGAAGTTTGTTAAATATTCGCTAATTGTTGCTTAATTAAATTAAATTATATTTGTTGTAGTTGCGGTTACTGTTGCTGTTGTGGTTTTTGTTGTTGTTGTTGTGCTGGGTCTCAGACTTGCGACTTGTTTGAAAATTTGTTATTTTGTAAAAATTTGTAATTTGTAAGTTGTAAATTTGTATTTTGTATGCGTTGTTTGATTTATTCATTAATTCATTATTGGCATATATATGTATACGTATATATATGTATGTATATATAATTTGATTAGCTTGTTGATATTATGTGATATTTTGTAAAATTGATGCTTATGAATTTTGTACTCTGGTTTTTGCATTAAAATTTGATTTGCGTTTATTTCTTGTTAATATGTTTACATATATAAAAAATAGTTGCAGCTTTTATCGAAAATGATTTTTGTTTTGTTTGTTTGTTTTTTTTTTCTTGCTTTGCTATATAATATTACTTAATATATTAGGCTTACAATTTAAAAATCTTTGTCTTCCGTTTGTTTGTTTGTTTGTTGGGTTACCTTACGAATTAATTAAACATTATCGCTTTATTTGTTATTCAATTTAGTTAAGCTATTATTCATCTTTGTTTGTATAAACTTAATACATTTTTATATTAGTTGATTTTCTGTCGTTTTTATGAATTTTTGGTTAGCATTCGAGTTGAAATTTGTTTGATTATTAGCCAAAGAGAAATTTTGCTTTTAATTTCTTATACCAAAATTTTGTTGTTGTTGTTTAAATCCTTTGGTTCAAAATCTGTAAAATAAGAAAATTCATTAGACATATTTCAATTTAAAATAACAATTTTTTAATTTTAGCTGACAGCTAAATAAATAAATCTTTATTAAATATAAGCATGAAAATATTCAAAGTGTTACAGGAACTTTTCACTGAACTTTCTTGAAGCTTCGTAGATAAGCATTACTCATTTTAATATTAACAACAAATGTTGGACATAAAATGCAAACGCTTCGACTGTATTGAAATGCAATGTGTTTATGATAAAAGCTTTAACTTTTAGACCTGTTTCCTTATAATATTCAAACATAAATGGAGGTAAGCTTTACCCAACTATCAAAGCCAAGACTTAATTGCGACATTAGCATAGCTTTTTAACAGCATATGCAACTGTAAATGCAAGCTGTAAAACTTAACAGACATGCACAAATGTTGAGTTCATGTTAACTACAAAAGTTGTGAGTTTATCTATTTTGTTTTTACTTCATCTTCAGAATAATAGGACAATATCATGGAATAGATCTATGTGTATAGCGATTTAACAGATTTGCATTAACAGCAGCATAGCAGAATATTTGGTATATGAAAACGGCATAACCAAATGTTGTCTGCTAATTGTATGCGTTTATCCTAGCTCAGCTCAGCTGTCGCTATAGTGGCTTACGAAGGCAACTGTATTTGCTTGCCACTCTAGCCAGTCCTTTTATTTTATTTCATTTTTGCTGCTATTATCGTTATTCTTTGCTTCTCTCAGCTCTCTGCTCACTCACTTAAAACATCTACAAACTTCAACACATAATTATGGTCTTTGACTATATAATGAGCGTTGGCCAAGTCCAACTTCACGCTGGCAGGAAGCAGCAAGAGGCACAAAAAACAAAAAAAGAAACGAAAAAAAAAAAAAAATGTAAAGGACACTCACTTCTGGCTTTTTATTGCCGTTGGCTGCTGTTGCCGTTGCTGTTGCTGTTGCTTGTAAGTTATGCTTTGGCTTTGTAAGACCTGACACACACTCACACACATACATGCATACACATACACACACTTGCTGCGTTTTTTTTTTTCAGTTGTCATTTTCTTGCTTTTTTCGCCATTTTTTTAACCTCGCAGTTACTCGCATTTATTGCTGCTTATGTTGTTGTTGTTGTTGTGTTTGTCTCTTTTGTATTTTGTATTTTGTTCTCATAAAAAAACGGCACAGGTGTACATTTTTTGCGCGTCCTTTGCCGTTGCCTTTTGACTTTTTGCGTTTTGTTACCTTTTTTTTTTGGTTTTTCAACTTGCCAACATTTCGTTGCGCTTCACAAAGTTCAATGGGCCTACTGTGTGTGTGTGAATGTGCGTGTGTGTGTGSGCCTACACTCTGTAGCAAGCTGTTGGCCACTTGAGGTGTTGAAGTGTCTACGAATTTGCCCTTGGCCAGTTAAGACAATCTACTCAGATATAGAAACTTCTATCAATGAATGATAAATTATTGTCGTCTTAAAAAAACTCTTGAATTTCCAGATATTTATTGAACTGATATTCTTTAAAGGCTGATAGAATAGAATTACCAATTCCGGAGTAATACATAAATACATTCCTGAGTAGCATCAATAGACTGCTGATAGGATGAGATATGTTATCAATCTCTTTCTCTTAAGCTATATTATGAATGGAGATAAGTGATTCCAGTAACTCGAACAACTGAATACCATCCATATTACATACCATCTTATTACAGAATACGTATATATCATGGTATAAAACAATCCAAACGCAATGTTTTAAATCATTCACTTTTATAGAATTACTCCCTAGCTTCAATGATTTCCATGCTGTCTACTCTGATTTCTACTCTGTCAACATTAATCTATTTCTATCCTATATAGATTCTGAACTTATGGCTTTCTAGCTATTTTCTCCTATTAAAAACTTTTCACATTTTGTATATATATATTCCATATTTTCAATTTCAATTTTGGCCATATTTGTTCACATGTTTCTCGTGTTGATTAGCTGAAGCTGCCATTAACTTTTTTCCAGCCTGTCGGGTGTTGTTGCCGCGCAGAACAATTAAAGCCTGATTATGCTGTCGCTTACAATTTGCGTGTCGCAATTTCAATGGCAGCAACGGCAACAGCAACTACAACAGCAACTCGCATTAGTGGCAAGGAAGAGGCAGCTTTGAATGATCGGCAAAAGGCCAACGGCCAATGGGCAGCAGAACCTGCCGCAGCGTCGGCGATCAGCGAATGCAAGGAAACTGAAGCAGAAACAAAAACACAGAGAAGAGCAGAAGAGAGAACAAAAAATTGATGTTGCAGCTGCCACAATTTGCTGCACTTTCCGTTTTATGCGACTGCGTTTCGCGATTCCACTTTGGCAGCAGCAGACCATCCTGCCGCAGTTGCCTCTCGCATATTTACATTGTTCGCTGCAAGTTGCATGTGGCAAGCTGAAAGCTGTAAGAGTTACGAGTTACGACTACTGCGATAAAGATCCCGATTTTGAAAATTAGGCCAACGCGAAATGCATGTGTATGCGGCATGTGCAACTCCAGCTCCAAGTGCAACTGCAACAGCAACTGCAACATGTGCACAATTAGCGCTTCCTCTGGCTGACGCTCTTACTGCCATATTGCTGATAAATCAAGCCGACGCTCCACTTTTGTTGTTGCTATTCAAATCGTATTTCAAGTCTACCTGAAGCCCCAATTTCCGCTCTGTGACATAATACCGAATCGAAGGAATTATGTATAAATCAACTGATTGATAAACCTATATATATACATATATGTATATATTTATATATATATTGATTTTTATCTTATCTATAGGCTGATAAGCAAAGGAACTCGTGTCTGGAAATTTGTGGCAGCTTTTGAGCTGGGATATATTGCAGATATAAGCTAAGTAAACACGGATGTATTAGTGTGTCTGTGTGTGTGTGTATGTATGCGAGGCTTACAACAAACGAAACCATGAACAATGCGCGCAATTCACTACAATATCTGACTCTTTCTCTCCCACTCCCTCTCTCTCTCTCTCACTCTCATTCTCATTGTATGCCTGTATGAGGCTCTGGCTGGCTCACAGTTTGTAACATTTAGCAAATGTTTTGCGAATTAAACTCGCAGCACACAGATGTACACTCATACATATATGCGAGCATGCATACATACATATGTATGTGTGTATATGTGCACATGCGAACAATGCGTCATTTGAAAATACTGAATGCAGAAGGGCACAAATGGCCAGAGCTGAAATAATTTAAGCAATGAATGTAGGTGACTCTCAGCTGCATTGCATTCGCAGCATAAACTGGGCTACACACATACACACACACAAGCACACAGGCACACGCACACCTGCATGCACATGTCCATGCACGTTGCATGTGCAAAATAGACCAAATGCTATAAGAGAACTCAGCCGTGACGAGGGCGAGGGCGAGAGCGAGGGCGAGCAGCAGCCTGCCTCATGTTGTAGCAACTGCTGCGTGCTGCCTGCCGCCTGCTGCTTGCTGCTTGCTACTTGCTGCCTGCTACCTGACTTTCATTTGTCGAGGCAAGTCAAGGAATGGCACAACAAGTGCAGCAGCAACTGGCAGTTTGCCAAACTCCTGTTCCGTTTGCTCCTGCTGCTCCTGCTGGCTACACAGTTACCAGTTGAATGGCAGCCAGCTCGAATGCCCCTCTTTCTCTCTCTCGCGCTCTCTCTTCACCTCTCCCTCACCCCCTATCATTCATCTCTCTATCTCC